TTCCACAAGGTTTGAAAGCCATTCAGCGTTTTCTTGGTTTCTCTAATTATTATAGACGCTTTATTAAAGGTTTTTCCTCTATTGTAGCGCCTATCACCCGTATGACAAGAAAGGGAGGCAATACTCGTGTCTGGTCTCCCGAGGCACTTCAGGCTTTTGAGTTTCTTAAAACCACATTCGCTTCTGCACCTATTTTACAGCACCCTATCCCCACACTGCCCTATATTCTTGAAGTTGATGCTTCTGATATCGGGGTAGGTGCTGTCTTATCCCAAAGAGAGTCGCCTGAAAAACCATTGCATCCTTGTGGCTTCTTCTCCAAACAAATGTCCAAAGCAGAAAAGAATTATGATGTGGGTAATCGCGAACTCCTTGCTATTATTTTAGCACTGAAAGAATGGAGACATTTGTTAGAAGGAACTAAAGATCCTATTCTCATATTTACGGATCATAAGAACTTATCCTACCTTAGTGAGGCTAAAAGACTGTCTTCTCGGCAGGCTAGGTGGTCACTATTTTTGTCCCATTTCAATTACATTATCACCTATAGGCCAGGTGACCGCAACACTAAAGCAGACGCTCTGTCCAGACAGTTCAAAACTGCTGACAAACGGGAGATTGATGTTACTCCTGTGATTCCCCCAGAAAGGATAATCGCTACCACTGTTTTGTCTATTTCTTCGTCCCTCTTGCAGGCCATACAAGCGAAACAAAGCATGGCACCTAGCGAGAGACCTACTGATAAACTATTCGTTGATGTTCCCGAGAGACGGGAGATTCTGTCGTTGTATCATGACACTAAGACTGCTGGACATCCTGGTATTTCCAAAACGGTGTCAGCAGTTTCTCGGTATTTTTGGTGGGATTCCTTACGCAAGGATGTCACTGACTATATAGGTGCTTGTACTACTTGTGCCTGTATGAAATCTTCTCGTAGGGTTCCTTGTGGGCTGTTGCATCCGTTACCTATTCCCGAGAGACCTTGGTCTAACCTGTCCATGGATTTTATTGTTGAATTACCCCCCTCGAATGGTAACACAGTTATCCTAATGATAGTGGATCGGTTTTCCAAGATGGCTCACTTTGTGTCTCTTCACAAGCTGCCCACGTCCAGGGAACTAGCACTTGTTTTCGCCAGAGAGGTGTTTCGATTACACGGCATTCCCGTATCTATTGTATCTGACAGGGGTAGCCAATTTATTTCCAGGTTCTGGAAAGCCTTTTGTTCGGAAATGGGTATTTCTCTCATTTTCTTCCTCTTGCCACCCCCAGTCTAATGGAGCTGCCGAACGTGCCAATCAATCTCTGGAGCAGTACCTTCGTTGTTTCGTATCCCACCATCAGAACAATTGGTCTGACCTTCTTCCTTGGGCTGAGTTTGCTCGGAATAACGCTACTCATGATTCTTCCGGCAAGAGTCCTTTTTACGTTGTATATGGCCAACATCCTGTTGTTCTTCCGGCTGCTTTCTCCTCACAGGGCATGCCAGTTCTGTATGAACATTTGGCTAATTTGCGTAATACTTGGGAGCAGGTTCAGCGTTCTTTGGTGGATTCCGCTGCTCGCCAGAAGGTGCAGGCTGACAAGCATCGCAGGGCGGCTCCTTCTTATGTTGTGGGGGACAGGGTTCTGCTTTCTACGCGAAACATTCGCCTCCGGGTGCCTTCTATGAAGTTGGCTCCCCGCTTTATTGGTCCTTATCATATTCTGCATAAGGTTAATCCTGTTTCGTATGCCTTGGGTCTCCCTAAGAATCTGCGTATTCCTAATGTCTTTCACACCTCGTTGTTAAAGCCTTTCATACGCAACCGCTACACCCGACATGCACCTCCTCCCCCTCCTGTTTCTGTGGAGGGTCATGAGGAATTTGAAGTTTCTGCAGTTCTTGACTCTCGTTTCCTTAGGGGCCGACTTCAGTACCTAGTGCATTGGAAGGGCTATGGGCCTGAGGAGCATAGTTGGATTTCCGCTGACGCGGTTCACGCTCCTCGTCTTGTGCGCTCTTTCCATTCTCGTTTTCCTGCCAGGCCTGGCCCTCCCCGCCCGGAGGGCGTGTCCTCAGGGGGGGGTAATGTAGCGGTACTTACCCTTTCCAGGGGCCGGCCGGGGTCCTCTGTTCGAGCCGCGCGCGGTCCTGCTGCTGCACGAGCCGCGCGCGGCTCAGCCGACCGCTGTGACTAGTAGCGGTCACGTGTTCCACCTACTCTAAGAGCGCGCCGCGGGTATCGGGCGCGCTCTTAAAGGGACAGTGGGTGCCTAAATTGGAAAAGGCATCCCATTGGTCCCTGTCATGCCACACTCCCCATACACTTACCTTTTGGGGGCGTGGATGTGACAGGGACCAATCAAATTAGATGTTTAGGTATTTATACTCACCTTCTTTCTTTTGTTCCTTGCCCTATCGTGGTTTCTGTATCAGTTCCCTTTAGCGCTTGTTGTGTTCAGTTGTGTTTCTCCGTATTGACCTTGGCTTTGTTTCTGACTACGTTTTCTCTTTATCCTTATCTGTTCTGGTTGTTGGCTTGTTGTTTACTGTGTACCAGACCCCGGCTTGTCCTAGTTTACGCTGTCTCTCTGTGCCCTTGATTTCGGATTGTTCCTGACTCTGTCTCCTCTCATATACGTCGAGTCCGGCCATTCTAAGGTCCGGTAGACGTAGCTCTCCTCTGTGTTGTCTTTTGTTTAGCTGAATCCTGCGTGTTGGGGTATATTCTCGTTACACCCAGAGAGTCAGGACAGCCAGGAGGGTTCAGTTGAGCATCTTTCCCCTCGTATACACGGAAGGCAAATGTGTAGCCACTTTCGCTCTCGCAAAGTTTGTACACTTTAATGCCATACCTAGACCGCTTTGAGGGGATATATTGTTTGAACCCTAATCTCCCTTTGTATTTCATAAGGGATTCATCGATGGATAAAGTTTGTTGGGGAGTATAAACTTCAGAAAATCTGTTCTGAAGATGGTCTACCAGTGGGCGTATTTTATAAAGCCTATCATATTCGGGGTGATCTCTGGGGTGACAGAGCGTATTGTCGTTAAAATGTAAGTATCTGAGCAGCAGCTCATATCTTGGTCTAGGCATTGTTTGGGAGAATATAGGAGTCGAACAAATTGGGTTGGTGCTCCAGTAAGACCGGATTGATGGCTTTTTTATTATCCCCATGAGCATGGTAAGAGCCCAGAATGTTTTAAGTTCAGGGACATCTGTGGGATGCCAAGCATGCTCCCTGACTGTATAGCTACCTGGATTGGTCTCAATAAATTGGCTAGCGTATAAATTAGTCTGGGAAGCAATCTCCTCCCAGATGGTATCCCCTAAAAATAACTCCATATATTGTATAGGGGAGAAGTCAACCACATTCACATTAATGCCTGTGTTGGCACTAAAAGGGGGGATGTTGGGCTCAGCTAACTGTGGAGGTACCCAGTCCTCCTCCACATTCAGCGTAGCAGGGGAAGCACAGCTTCTTTTAGCAGCTGGCTCACTCACAGATGACATGTCACTAGACGTGCCGCTAAACTGACCTGGGTCAAAATCGGACGCAGTGTCAGTGGCGTCAGAGTCTGACGCCAAGAAGGCATATGCCTCCTCCAAGCTGTACATGCGCTGCATGTTTCACACCAACAGACTAAACTAACAAAATACTAAACACAATATTTTTTTATTTTTTTTTTAAAACACTAAAACAGACTAAAACAGACTAAAACAGTAATCCCTAAACTAACTCCTGTTAGAAGAATCTAAAAATTGGATAAGCACTGAAGTTACTTCAATGCAAGGTTTATTAAAAATGCTGTTTAATATATGTCAAATGGAATATATAGCATATTCAGCTACTAATTTTTTGACCAAGTTCTAGAAAATATGGGGTTCTATATTAGAGGAAAGGGTAAGAGAAGAGGATGGCTGGCTGAGAATAAAATTAAGAATACATCTGGATAATGACACAGAGGCAGGTATTAATAGTAACATATAGCGCACTTGGAATTAAGATAGATTTGGCTTATTATGTACCATAATTAGTTAAAACAGAAAGCACCAGACCTAGATTTGTAATCTCGATCTCTAATCTTGATTTCTAATTTTGAATTTTAATGATGATCTCTAATCTTGATCTGCTACAATAATTGAAATATGTATATTTAAAAAAATAAATGTATACACATATTATTTATTTATAAAATATTTTACCAGGAAAGATACATTGAGATTTCTCTCGTTTTCAAGTATGTCCTGGGTCCACAAATCATTGCATTGTTACATTAGGTACAACAAAATACAAAAACAATATTAATACACAATATATACAAAATTTAACATAGAACAGGCAGGAAATATATAATCAACCATGACACGTGCATTCTGTTTTGAGGTATGTAGAGAGGGATCTCTTAAATGACTTTAGGCTTAGGGAAGATTTTAAATTGTGCGGGAGGTCGTTCCACAATTGCGGCGCTCTGTAGGAGAAGGAGGATCGGGCCGCTTTCTTTTTGTATTGAGGTAGACTAAGTAAAGTGCTTGTACTGGATCGGAGCTTATAGAAAGTGGGAACAGCTAAGGAAAGCATTTTGTTCAGGTAGGGTGGGAGTTTCCCAGAGAAGCTCTTAAAAACAAGGCTGGAAAGATGAAGGGTGCGTCTGGATTCCAGCGACAGCCAGTTTAGTTCCTTTAGCATGTCACAATGATGGGTCCTGTAATTACATTGTAGCACAAATCGGCAGAACGAGTTATACAATGTGTTGAGTTTATTAATGTGGGATTGCGATGCAGACGCATATACTACATCCCCATAATCAATGATTGGCATCAGCATTTGCTGTACAATCTTTTCCTTTACTGTAGGGCTTAGGCAGGCTTTGTTTCTGTACAGGGCACCTAATTTTGGATAAAGTTTAGATGCAAGCTTTTCTATGTGCAGGCCAAAAGATAGATTGGGGTCTAATATCATACCCAAGTATTTGAAAGAGTGGACTGCGGTCAGTGTGCCATTTGAATGTGTTTTGATGGATAGGTGGGGATTGTGTAATTTGTGCAATTTAGGTACCGTTCCAAAGATCATTGTGACAGTTTTGTCAGTGTTCAGGAAGAGTTTGTTTTTTGCGATCCACTTTTCTACCTCTGTAAACTGGTCTTGGAGCAAAGCCTCAAGTTGCGGTAGATTGGTTTGCTCGCATAGATTACCGTGTCATCTGCGTACATGTGTACATTTGAGGATTGGCAGACATAAGGCAGATCATTTATAAATAATGTAAATAGTAGGGGGCCGAGAATGGAACCCTGGGGAACACCACACGTGACCGGGAGAGGGAGGGAGTCACTGTCAGAAATGGACACATATTGCGAGCGATCCGATACATACGATTGAAACCAGTTTAAAGAATGATCACCAATACCTGAGTTTTCGAGTTTGTGCAGTAGAATGTCGTAGTCTACTGTGTCAAAGGCCTTAGCAAAATCAAGGAAAATAGCTCCAGTTAGGGCTCCTTGTTCCATGCCAGTTTGGATGTCATTGCAAACTTTTAGGAGGGCAGTTGTAGTGGAGTGATTCTGGCGAAAGCCCGATTGATCAGGGGTCAGATAGTTTAATTGTTGGTAGTACTCACAAAGTTGCGTATGGACACATTTTTCTAAGATTTTTGACAATACGGGAGCAATGATATTGGGCGATAGTTAGAAACCAAAGTAGTGTCACCACTTTTATGGATAGGCACTACTCTCGCAGTCTTCCAAAGTTTGGGTATGTATCCAGACACCAAGGATTCGTTAATTAGAGTTGAGACGGGTTTAGCAATTGCCGGCGCACTGAGCTTCAACAGCATTGCTGGGATTTGATCAGGTCCGGACTGGTTTTTCATTTTTAGATTATTAAGATGTTTTTTAATGACACTAACAGGTACAGGTCTAAAATTAAACTTATCTATATTGGGCCTTTGCAAATTTAGTGGGGCCTGATCCACATTTGTAGTTTCAGGATGCGTGTCATTTATTAGCTTGTCAATCAGGGCAGTAGAGCATCCAACAAAATAATTGTTAAAGGCATATGCAACATCTAAAGGAAGTTGCAGGGTTTGGTTACCCACTTTGACAGTGGAGGGTTGGGGGAGTTTGTAGTTTATTTATGACTTTCCAAAAGTTTCTAGGGTTTGAGCTGTTACTGTTCAGATTTTCATAGAAATATTGGGCCTTGGCCAGTTTTGTCTGTTTTGTGCATATATTTCGCCATTGTCTATATGCACCGTGATCATTCATAGAGCCAGTACGCTTAAACTTTGACCACAAAGAATCCCGAAACTGGTACATTTGGATGAGGTCAGCTGTGATCCAGTTCATATGCGCTCCTTTTACCCTCACCTTACGCAGCGGGGCATGCAAATTCCAGATTTGAAGGAGTTCAGACTGAAAGTATTCAACAGCACAGTCTAGATCTGGGATAATGTTTAATCTGTGCCATGAGAGATTCTTGATGTCATTTAAAAAGGATTCAAGATTAAATTTTTTGAAGGACCTAGTTATTTTAACCTTGGGAGAGGATTTAATAGCCTTTATTTTGCGCACGCAGTACACTAAACAGTTATCACTGAACGTGTTGGGGAGAACACCAACCTCCTGGATTCTATCAGGAGAAGTGGAGAGAATCCAATCTAGCAGGGTATGTTTATGGCTTTTAATGTTTATGCGAGTTGGGGAGGAGATTAATTGCGTTAGCTGCAAAGTCTTAAACAGCGTGCAAGAACTATTATTTTTAGGGTTCAGCCAATCAATATTAAAATTTCCAAAGACCAACAGTTCACTTTTTGGGTTTTGAGCTATGGTTTCACTAAGGAGATGGGCTATGTCAGAAAGGGAATGCACAGGAGAGCTAGGTGGGCGGTAGATTCCTGCAACAATGATGGATTTACTGAACGGGATCTCAATTGTGCCAGAAAGGAAATCAAAGATGGCAGGAGGACTAAGGTTTTGTAAAGGGGTAAACTTTATGGAATTGTCAACATAAATAACAATGCCTCCTCCTCTCTTTGCTCTGTCATATATATTATTTTTTTGTGCTTTATTTTTTCTTGTTCTTTTCCTGTACTAATTTGATGTATTGTTATACACGCTAATAAAATATTTGAAAGCAACAATGCATGGAATGTTATTATTATAATATTTTTTTTTTTAATTGTTTTATGTTCCCCTATGTATATGATTTTGGATGGAGAGAATATGTTCCTTTGCCAATTTACCTCTTTACCACTTTTGTACCTTTTTCCTTTCAATAAAAATGATTTGAACAAAACACAAACAAAAAAACCTCCTGCTCAAAATGAATATGCAATTTTAGAAAAAATAGGTTAAATATTTTTACTGTATACATTGATTCATTTGTATCATATTCATAGAAAGTAATAAATTATATACATCAATCACTATATGACATGGAAAAAACATATAAAAGTTACACTACCCCAGAGTAAAAATGCCAAGACTATCAGAATATAAACGGATTGAACAGACAACTTGTCTGAAATGAGTTCATCAGTACAGCGTAAATAATAGTTTTGCAACCTGCAAATAATCCCTTTAGTGTACTCAATGGATTTTGAGCTACAAAGCTGCATAGAATGTTAGGCGTATGGTGGTGTAATTTACAGAGCATTTGCATATATTCGGAAGTAAAAAAAGTGGAGTGATAGCATAGAAAAAAAATTCTCTATAAGGCAAAAATCCGTTTTGGTGCAAAAGGAGAGGTTAGTACGATTGCTTTGGTTATATTTCATTCTATATCTCAATAGAATAGTGTGCTTTCGTCTGAGTTATTAGTTTAATGCACACTTTAAAAAGAAAAAAAAAATTATGCTGGATGTTTATAAAGTCTTTGTGTACCTTTAAACTTTAATAACTTTTGATGTGCTCGTGCTACAATATTCCCTAAGCACACAATGGTTAAATCATTCAGACAGAAACTCTTTTCAGCAAGATGTTACATCCTGTCACCGTACTAGAAATGTGTGATCATTTTGAAAGACAAGTTTTCAATGAGTTGGAAAATTGGCTTTAAAAATATGTCACAAATGATGGAGGTTATGTTGAAGGCGAAGGTGAAGAAAATCAAACCGTATTGCTTTAAAAACATAATATTTCCTCTTCTCTATGCAGTTTAAAGTATATAAATCCAAACTTAATAAAATTGGACGCGGGTTTTCAGAACCCCTAAATTGTATATTTAAAACTAGAAATAGCTGCTTAAAATCAGCACTGTCAAACATAATACTTAACCCTTTAACGACGAGTGACCTCGTTCGTCACCCGTTAAAATTAACCCCAGATCGCCACTATAGCGGCGATCGCGGGGTTAATGGTGCTCCAGTCTGCGTCTGTATTAGAGGCAGCCGGGAGCACCCGATAAGGCTGCCAAAGCACATGTGCTCGCTCAGACAGGCTGTCAGAGCGAGCACATGTGCTGCATATACTCACGTTCCACCTCCCTGCACTTCCTGGTTCTGGGTGTGAAGTGCAGGGAGCCAGAACAGTGCTGGTCCTGCTCCCTGTTAAAAAAAAAAAAAAAAGTTTATTTAAAATCCCACCCCCCTTTACTCATTTTAATTCAAATTAACCTCTTCCCTGCCAGTTGATCACTGACTACATAGATCAATTGGCAGGGATTACATTTTTTTTTTTTTGCAGTGCATATGAGGGTAACGTACAAGCCTGCGGTACCCCAAAGGCAGTCCGCATGCATATTTCAGCACAATGAGAACAGAACAATAAGAACAGTGGGGTATGTCAAAACAGTTCACTAATTTTATGTGTACAGGACACAGTAGTGTCGAGTATTATGCATGCTAGTTAGATATACCTATCATGAGTTTCTCAAGCTGAATGAAACCAGTAAGATAGCGCATCACACATTTAAGCATATATTCTTGTTATTGCTGTCATATGTGTCTATGCAGTGCCGGCCTTAGGGGTGTGCGAGCTGTGCGGCCGCACAGGGCGCCATGGCAACAGGGGCGCCGGGCGGCCAGCACAGCTCGCACTCAGTCACTCACATGCCGGCCCGAGTCATGTGCAGAGCAAGTCAAGTGCATTATGCTGCGCACTTGACTTGCAAATTATGAAGAGAGCAGTGGCCGGGAGAGAGAGGAGGTCAGGAGCACGGAGGAAGAGCATGCTCCGCCTCCACAGTCATCCGCGGAAGGATCCGCACAGTGAGTGTGAGGGAGGAGGTCAGTGCTGGTATCAAGGTCGGCAGACTGGGACACTGTCAGGAGGTTCCAGGGAGCAGCAAGCTTTAATGTGAGTCTGTTTATTCTTGTTGTAACTATTGCTTTTTTTTTTTTTTAATTAAATAGATTGTTGTTTTTGTGTGTGTGTGTGTGGGGGTTTGCAGAAGGGGGAGCAGAGGTTTTCTCGCTGGGATTTTGGGGAAGGGGTTTTGTAGAAGGGGGTTGGTTTAGGGAGGAGCAGAGGTTTTATAGAAGGGGTTAGAGGTTTTGTAAAAAAGCGGGTAGGGGTTTTGGTGTAGAGGAGAGGTTTTGTAGAAGAGGGGGCAGGTATTTCTGGTGAAGTGGCAGGGGAAAGGATTTTGTGGAGGGGGCATGGGTTTTGTTGAAGGGGGACCAGGGGGTTTGTAAAGGGGGCAGGAGTTTAGTATAAGGGGAGCAGGGGTTTAGTAGAAGGGGAGCAGGGGTTTAGTAGAAGGGGGCAGGGGTTTAGTATAAGGGGGCAGGAGTTTAGTATAAGGGGGCAGGGGTTTAGTATAAGGGGAGCAGGGGTTTAGTATAAGGGGAGGCAGGACTTTAATATAAGGGGGGCAGGGGTTTAGTATAACAGGGCAGGACTTTAGTATAAGGGGGGCAGGAGTTTAGTATAAGGGGAGCAGGGGCTTAGTATAAGGGGGCAGGGGTTTAGTATAAGGGGAGCAGGGGTTTAGTATAAGGGGGGCAGGGGTTTAGTATAAGGGAGCAGGGGTTTAGTTGAAGGGGAGCAGGGGCTTAGTATAAGGGGAGCATGGGTTTTGTAGAAGGGGAGCAGAGGTTTATGTAGAATGAGTGCAGGACTTTTGTAGAGGGTGGCAGTGGTTTTGGTGGAGGGGGAAGGTTTTTAGTGATATTATGTGAACATTGCTGTATAGTTGATATATATAATGATAGCATGTGTTTTGTTAAAGGGGGAGAAAAAAAATTATAGAAGGGTGGGCAGGGGTTTTATTAAAGGGGGAGCAGGGGTTTTGTAGAGGGGGCAGGGGTTTTGTAAAAAGGGGGGCAGGGTTTTTGTAGAAATGGGGGCTGGGGTTTGTGGAAGGGTTTTGTAGAAGGCGGAACAGGGCTATTGTAGAAGGGGCAGAGGTTTTGCTGAAGGGGGGGGGGGGCGCCATATGTTGGGCTCGCACAGGGCGTCTGATCACCTAAGGCCGGCCCTGTGTCTATGTAAGTAAAAAACAGATTAACACAAACTAGGTTTCACTCTTACATGAGAACAATTACCGAGTGACATATTTGAGTACCCGTATGCTTATGGTATGATATGTAGGTTGCGTGTTGAAAATCATAAAGTGAACAAGCTTTTAACGCATGGTAAAAAGAGAAGCATAAAACATAAAACCAGCGTCAATAATAGAGATTGTGCTTCAACACTGAAGATGACCACCCCATGTTGGCCCTGTGTTATCCAGGCGAGAGTCCGTGTCAGCATGCAAGGCGACCCAATCCGTCAGTGTGCAGTGTGGGGTACTGTAATAAGGCAGAGTGCTTGGTGGCTGCAGCTATTCTTATAGTCCTGTATGGTGGGAGTGTATGAGGATCGAAGTTCCCTTATAGGGTCATTTGCAGTCCAGCCGGGTGACTGTCATGAGCATGTGAAAAGTCCCAGTATGGTGGCTGTAAGTGAGTGGACTGTCTGTTTCAGGCCCCCAGGGGAGCTGGGCGGTGTGGCAGGGTAGTTCAAGGCTTTATAGTGTTTCCCTTCTTCAGGGGGCCGAGCTTTGATGCTGCTCCTCCCTAGCTTGTGGGAGCTTGGTGTTTACTCGCCGGTTCCCTCTCTTATATGGTCGGTAATCCGCCTGTGTGGGAGAAGGAGAGGAGGGTACGTCTGGCGGCTCACTCGTCCGAGTAACCATGCGGTCTCCGCCATCTTGGGAGCGGGCTCTCGCCGGTGTTGTGGCGCTTCGATGGTTCACAGGATGGGGACCGGGACCGTTTCTGCCTTACCGCTGGTGGGCAGGATAGCTGGGCAGCGGACGTCCACCCAACTCACCGCCCGAGCGGTCTCCATCGCGTGCGCCTGGGATCGCCCCATCGAGGGACTAGAACCTTGCAGCAAGCCTCTCCTCGGGACCAGGGTTGCCTCTTGCACTGGGGTACAGCTTTCAGTTTTTCAGTAAATATTTTGCGGTGATCTAATTTTTTTTAACCCCTGAGGATTAACTTTTATTTATTTTTTAACCCTCAGGGGTTCAATTTATTTAATTAATTAATTTAAATATTTTATAATTACATATTTTGCTAGCTGGGGTGGGTGGGAGTTATGGGACAATGGGGAATTTACTGTTAGTGCTGCTTACTGCTTGTTAGGGGTTAACGATAAAAAAAAAGCTTAGAAAAATGTTAAATCTGTAAAAAAAGTTTTAAGAAAGTTTAGGAAAGTTTAAAAAAATTATTAAGCAAAACAAAAGTTTAAAAACTAGTTTTTAAAAGTAAAAAAGTTTAAAAAAGTAAAAAAATACATTTAAAAACACTCATTACCACTACACCTGGAACAAACTAGAGAAAAAATGATCCCACGCTAAGGTTCAGATTATGCCTTTTGAATTACCCCAGGGTGTATTCTTTAATAAATAATATGTGTTTGTGGGGAAGTTTCAATAACCAACCGTCTAAACTACTCCAAATTGGAACATGGACACAGCGTAAACTTCAAAGTTAGAAAAAAATTGAATGGCTGCATCTCAAATGCGCCCCTTCAACATCCACATATACCTGGCAAAGGTACATACGTGGTATTGCTGTACTCAGACGACATAGCTGAGCAACATATGAAGTATTA